GCGGTGGAGGTCTGTGTGGGTAGCAAGGTGCCGCCCCGCGGCGTGGGTGCGCTCTCGGGTTGTGCGAAGTTTTCCTTCTACATCATCACCCTCCCTGCCGCAGGGGAGGGCAGGGAGCGTAACTTATTTGGTGGTTGTGACGCGCTTTGTCTGGAGGTTGGAGCGCCACAGAACTCCCCGATTTCGGGAAAGTGCTAAAGGGTCCTGCCTGGTGTTTCCGTTTCCAGTGCACAAAGAACTGTGTTGTCCAACACCACCACAGTGGCATTCACTCCTCGCAGCGCGCTGTGCTCCTGGATCCTCAGCAAGGACACAGACGTCCAGCTTCCTCGAGAGACTGCCTGGAGTTAGTCCACGTGCTGGAAGATTCCCAGCGCCTCTCCAGAGCGCAAGGTCTGCGTCCCCGCTGCGGGGCTGGGAGCCTTTCCGCAGACGGCTGGATCTGTGGCCTTTGCTGGTAGAGGAGCACACAGCACAGCGTGTTTCACCCTGCCGCTAGACAGAACAGGCACTGGTGACGTGAAGGAGACCAGTTTGCCAGTGTAAGACCTAGCTTAATTTTTATTCATAAACAGGCAACATTTTGCATTGAAAAGTAAGGTTTTAGACTGGTTTAAATGTCATGTTAATGGAGACTAAAAAAGGGTCAGCCGCAGCAGCGATTCATGTATCACACGTGCTGAAGGGTTAAGCAACTAGGAGATGGACGCCAGCTTTGCCTTATCTCCTGTCTTGACTCCATAATACTGGCACTTTTGGTTTTGCCCACTTCTGCAGGCAGGGAAATCAATCCTTAGCTGGAAAAGACAGCAGCGTACCCACAGGGCTCTGACTCAGGATGAGTGAAGCCCATCTAAACACAAGCCCATGGAGTATTTTTAAAGTCACATAGCTTCAACCTTCTATTGTATCAGAAAAAAAATGAGGACGTATCTACCACACAGGGGAAGAGAGTCTTTACAGGAGAACTTGGAGCTTACCTGGCCAACAGTGGCATGTGTAATTGTCAGCGTTGTCCTCACAAGTGCCATTATTGTAACATGGTTGTGACCAACACAAGGGAGTTCGGGTCTCGCAGTGTAGGCCCGTAAATCCAGTACCGGTACAGTTGCAGCTGTATCTGCAACACAGAATGTAATGTTCACTCTAGCTGGAAGTCAGGACATCTGGGCTTTGCTCCCAAACCTGCGCAGGCTTCTTGTGTAGCCTTGGCTAGGGGCTTGCCCAGTTGAGTCCAGGCTTGAGACCACCATCTGGTGCTCTAGGAGAAACCGCAGAAACTGGGAACCAACAATGAGCTTTTTCCTGAAATATGTGGTTTTGTCTGGGGGAAAAAACTTGCTTGTGAATTCAAATTGGTTTTGACAGACCATTTCTTCTAAGAATTATTGATTTTTTTTTTCCTGCTTTTTTTAATTTGGGGGGGGGGGGGGG